AGTAGATTCTGTTAAAATTTGAGGCAGCAATTTTTAGTATATGAGAAGTGGCAGAGAGGCGGTGGGCTTTGAGAAAGAGTGGAATTAACTGAGAGAGGAGAGTACATGCTGACTAGAATGGGAAGATAAAGAAAGCCTATAGGATGAAAGCAAGGGGAAAGCTGGAAAACAGAGGTCAAGAACGAGGAAGTTGTCCGAGACCTCTATACTTTTCCATTTTAAAAATGACAAAGTCTTGCTCCTGTCCCCACCCTTGGATTATACAAAAAATACAAATTAGTCACTACAACTTCCTTTATAATATCCCTCTACCCCTACATTCAGCTGAAGACTACCGATAAAACTAGAAAACATTGGATTGGAATTCTCTGATCTTCCCATGAGCAATTCGACCATCCTGCTACGTCTATCCCTAACTCCTGATTCCTGCCTCCTGGTGTAAATGAAAAAATATCCCCCTCCTCCTTCTCATCTCACCTGGCACTGGGCTCTTTCTTGTGCATCATTGTCTCTCGCCCCACTGCCAGGCCATTCTTTGTGGTATTGATGTGTGCTCTCCCTGTGCACCCTGCTTCTACCCCATGGCCATGGGGGCAGAACTCCTCCTAACCCCTGCCAGGCTGACCCAATGTGGGGGCCAATCTTGAGTTTTGGTGTCCTTGTGAGCTTCCCTCAACAACTGGCAATTTGGACGGTAGCTCTGAATCTTGCCTACGTCACACATTTCTCTCCACAGCATGCTCCTCTTTCTCATCCTCATCATATGTATTTGTATTTCAATGATCCTATGACATATGCAAAGAAAATAATAATACCCAAATTTAAAGATAACAAAACTGAGTGAGATGGGATGATTTACCCAAGGTCACATGGTAAGTGGAAGAGCTGGGATTTAAGCCCAGGTACTCTGATTACAAATCATTTCATTACACGGAAGCAGTTAAGCTCATGGGAATGACCACTGTTTGGGGTGAGCTTTGAAACTCTGACCTCTCTTCAGATTGTACCTTATCTGGGAAATTTCTGGGAGGCTGATTCCCTTTTACAGTTAGGACAGCTCTTCTGTCCCCTCTACTATTCTTCTGTCCCTCCAGCTGTCAGCTGTCTAGCCCATGGGTGAGGAGGGGTTCCTGTTTTGTCTTTGGCTGTAGGTCATTTTGATTAGGGGTAGGGAAGTGAGGTACGGAAATCAGTATAGACCAAGTCCCTGCTAAACGTCCTAACCTACATGAACTCACAGAACCATTACAACAATTTTGTGAGAAAGAGCTCAGGACACCATTTATGTGTATATGTGTGTACACATGCCTGTATACATCTATCACTTGAACTAAGATGCAATTCACTAGATAGTTAATAAAAAATGAAAAGAATAAGAGCAATTTGGGGGACTTACATTACAAGACATCAGGATGTATTCGTAAGTTTAAAGTAATCAAAACAGTATGGCACTAACACAATGACAGACACATAGAGCAAAGCAAAGCGAACAGCCGTACAGTGTAAGATTCTACTTAGGCTCTAAACACAGAGCATGAGGCCATTCTTCTTCCTACCACATATAATGTAAAACAATATAAAGGACCTAATTTCTAACATATCAGCCATGTCAACAATTGTAAATGGGTTAAATAATCTATTTAAAAAAAAAACAACCCCTCTATATTCAGTTTTACAAAATGAAAAGATCTGTAGAGATGGGTGGCTGTGATGACTGCACACTGTACCCTCAGGACCTAAACACTCCCCAAAGGCCTACCTCCTATTATCATTACAGGATTTTAATGACTTTAAGGACTTTGGGGGAACACAAACATTCACACCATAGTATCCTTTAAGGACAAGTCTAGGGTGGAGCAATAAATTCAAGTCAACTCCGCGTTACCTTCACAGGCTACCCAGGGACACCATATAGCTTACACTCAGGTATACTTAACACCTCAACCTGGGTTCTTCTCAGTACTCCACTCTCTCCCCCAATGGCTGGGTCTGTTGGATGTATCACAAATACCCACCACATGTCCTGATATTACTCCTTGGGAGACACCACTAACTGATCGCATCACCCTTTCATGTTGAGCCCGTACAGCTTCACTCTTCTTCAAGACAGGCTGCAGACACTTCAAAGAGGGAGCAACATTCACAATCCCAGCCCAGGGTGGATCGAGGTCTTCTTCCACCCTGTGTGGCATTTACCATGGAGTTCAGGACCTTCATTCACCCCTTTCCAGAATGTTCTAGTTACACTCACAATGCCACTGCTCCAATTAGCGCCCTTCTAAGCTCATCGTTCTTCCAGTGTTAATGGAAAACAGTGAGGAACATGTTTTAATTTTATCCTTGTTCTACCCCAGAGGAGTCCTAAACTCTCCTGCTTACAGGACTCCCATGAGGTTTCCATTTTTGTAGGTATTTGGTCTGAACCAGTTAGCTTGGATTTATATTTGAAATTTCCTAAAATGTAGAGAAGAGGAAGAGGAGGGAAAAGGATGTTATTGTTGTTGAATGCCTATCCACTGAGCACAGCAGAAGGACCATTCTGGGGTTTGCCAAAATTAGCATTGCTAGATAAATTGGGAGACTTATATCCTGCCGGTTGCCAGGAGAGCATGCCAGCTAATTTTAGCCCACTGTGTAAATATAACCAGCACTGGTATGCACTGGCCTCTAACATTAACGAGGGTCAATCACATCCTTCAGCAGCTAAAGAAATTTCTGCACTAACTTAGTATTGACCGGACTTCCTGGACCCTTAAACCCCTGCTCCTCCCACACATACTGATTTTCTTCTTGGAAATGACCTTGGAGATCCCTCAGCCAGACCCCCTGCACTATCCATGGCCTCTTCCACTTCTCTGAGCAGAAAATTGCCCCAGGAAGGCAATTTTAATAAGGCAACATCCTTAATGAGTTAATATTAAAATGAGTTAATTAATTCATGTAAAGCATGTAGAAGAGTTCCTGAAAGATGATAAATGCTTAATAAGTGTTAACTATTGTTTTATTGTTGTGTGTCTTGAAATCTTGGCTCCCCATTTTGCTAGTTGGATGACCTTTGGTCATCTTAAGCCTTGATTTCCTCATCTGTAAAATGGGCATAGGAAAAACCCCTACCTGATAGGATTGCTGTTAACATCAAATGAGTTATGACAGATAAAGATCCTTCCTGGCCTCTGCCTGGCACCTGTGTGTGCCCAGGATGTGACATCTGCTCTTGTTACTTCTTTAGGCATTTGAGAGTATTTTCAGTCAGCAGTCACACTGACAAACCACTCAACTTAGATTGTTCCAGAAACAACTTCAGAGTGACTAAATGAATTTAGAAAAGATGTATGTATATTGTGTGTATGTGTTCTTTTTCAATATTTTATTTCTTTATGGCTACTGAGATTAAGACAATGATAAAAGCAAATGGTTTCAAAATATGGAAATATATAAAATATATAAAAGTAATCATAGAACAGTAGTCAAGAAAGAAAGAGAGCATTTCTGGGTTTTTTCCCCTCTTTATCTTGTTCCTGGGTGGGTTTTGTTTTATTTATATTTGTCTCAAAGTAGGAATAATAGTATGCGATCTGAAGAGAAACCATAACATTCTCCATTGTGGCTGTCTACGATTTCAAAGCTAGGTAGTTTATTAATGCTTAGAATTAAACATTAAACTTAAATATTCCACTTAAATATTATATAACATTTCTAGTTATTGGAAGTGCTTTTCCCACAAATTTTATGGAACTTATTTACTTTTTGTTATTTTTTCCAGAAACCCAGTTTTAAAGCCATTTTCATAGAGAATTCTATATTACTCCTAGTGTCTTTTCTCAAGCACTTTTGAGACTCTATTCATGAAAGTCTGTGGAAGAGTAAAAGCTAAACTTTTGTTTCTTAGTTTTAAAGACTATAAAATCTCTCGTTCTTTTTAGAGTGCTGTGTAGGAAACCAAGGTGATCCCTAGCCTTACTCATTGCAATATCATCAAGTATATCTGCATTTATAGTTTTGATGTTTATCATCTATTATTTTGAAGTATGAGAATAAATGCGTGGTTATATTCAGAAACAGATTAAGGGAAATGTTTTATTCATTCATAATAAAAAAAGAATGGTACGATAGAGTTATTAGCCAAAGTGGACTAGCTATGCTGCTGTTTTACTCCAGAGATGCTTAGTAGCCATAGATATTGACTGAGATAAGTAAATATGGCCTATTACTTCTCTGTAGATTATGTGTACCTGAAGAGGCTAAAATAAACTGGCAGATAATCCCCAAATTTTCCTCATTTGTTTAAGTATTGCATCATGCTGTTTCCTTTTGGCAACCAGTTCATCCTGCTAGGTATGCTTTTGCTTAGGCCAATATTAGTTTGTATTTCCTGAACCGACCAAGCAATTAGTCTTATAAGATAGTGACATAGGGAGAGAGTTGGCTCAGAATTTTAAAACTGGCAACAGAACAACTGCAAAGGAAATAATTTGGCAATTAAATGTGGAATATTGCTAGATTTTTTTTTTTCATGAAGAAGCATTTCTTTTAGGTCAACTATTTCTAGTATTTAAACAGTGTCTTCCCAAGAGGTTTCCCTCATTAATAGTTTCTTTTAGAGGAAAAGAACTACTATGTGTGGCCCTTGGCAAATGCCTCCTACTGTAGCTCCCACTTCCCTCCCAGTGGCTCTTGGGGAATTGTGGTCAAACTGTGCTCCTGTGCAATGACTGGCTGTGACAAGTAGGGAGACATTTAACCGCAGTAGGAAGAGACATATCTTTATGGCAAGCTGTGTGACTGAGGGCAAGTTACTTAACCTCTCGGGACCTCTAAACAGGAACAGTGGTCCCTCCTTCACAGGCTTGCTTTTATTTAGCTCCAATGTTAGCACTTTGCATATGTATTTCTGTTTAAGCCTCACAACACCTCTGTGAGGTCGGTATTATTATTAGTCATATTTTATAGATGAGAAAAACAAAGCTAGTAAGTATTCAAAGTCATCCGTTGCTACTTACTATAAGGCTTCCGTAGTGCTGCTGGAGAACGCTGCACGTGCCTGACAAGAGCCCTCCCGGAGAGGATACTGCCAACCATAGGTGTCTGGTTTAGATGCTCCAAACCGCCTGCACCCGTACTTGCCACTAGTGGGAGGTAGAAGGGAGAAGATGACGGTGGCCTCCTGCATGCGTCCTTTCTGCCTGCCTGTCTCCCTCCCCTTTTCCCACTCTGTTTTGTCGATAGTTTTTCTGAACTGTGGGTAACTTAGTTGAGTAGAGTAACTATTCCTTTTAGAGTAGCAAGATTTTCATCTCATTTTTTCTGTTAACAGACCTTGCTGCTCACTCCCCCCACACACACACACATGCGCACATGCACATGCACTGCACACACACACACACACACACACACACACACACACACACACACACTGGCTCTCACCACTCAGTTCCACCTCCCCACAGTCACACTCTGCCACAGCTACAGGTGTAAGTACAAGACTTTTCTTTACAGTGATATTAATTGGGTCTGATGAGGGCCCAGGACCTGACAGCTTGGAACAGACTTGTCTGCTGTAGGAGATTAAAAGGCCAACACACAAAGAAGCAGAGACCAGCAGAAATGAAAGGCACGCAGAAGGCAACACAGGCCAAGTCAGCCAGTGGCACCTCCTAAGGAAAGGCCACCGAGTCCCTGTGTGTGAGATCTCTGGCACCTCTGGGCCCTGTGGGTTTCCAGCATCCCTACCTCTCAGCTACCTGAGCTGGTTTGAGAAAGCAACTTTGAGTTGCATATTTGCAGCCAAAGGAGTTCTATTTTCATATACTCATGTCGAACATCAGAAAGTTGAGAAGAGAAAAAATCCTAAATGTAAATATACTTTTCATCTTTCTGAGGATGACTCTACATTTATTCATTCAACAAACATTTACTGAATGTTGACTATAGGCACTGTGCTGGGGGCTGGCAACCCAGGATGAATAAGAAATGGTTCCTGCCCTGAAGGAGCTTCTAGTCTTGAAGAAGATGCACACTGAGAAAAAATGCAATGACATGTCACCAATGTTTTGCTAAATGTCATGGAGAGCTGTAGTACAGGAAGAAAAATAGTGTCACTTATTCCCAGGCAGTTCAGGAAAGGTTTCAGAGAGATGATAACCCTTCGCGGACATTTGAAAGACAAGGGTGGTCTAGGCCTTTGCTGCTCAGAGTGTGGTCACTGAACCAGCAGCATCAGTGTCACCTATTAGAATTACAGAGCCTGGGGCCCCACTTTAGACCTAATGAATCAACATCTTAACACGATCCCCAGGTGATTGATACCACATGGACCTTTGAGAAATGCCGAGCAACGCAACAGAAGAGCAGAGGAAGAGGAAGTTCAGGAAGAGGGACCAGCTTGAGGAACCAGTAGATAGAGCACGATGTGTGCATGAGACTGTAAGCCACATCAGGGGTGTGTGGTGGTGGCGGGGGAGGGGTGTAGCATAAATAAAGGCAGGTCAGCCCACAGAGGCCCATGCAATCCATGCAGAGAGGCTGGACTTTATCCTAGTGGCAATGGGGAATCAATAAAGCACGTAAAGGAAGAGTGTGATATCATCATACTGCACACTTGAAAGCCGAGTAAGAAACCTTTCTGGCAAGCAGAGTAGTAGATGAAGTTGGATATGATCCTGAAAGGAGGGGAGCCGCCCCGAGGTTTAAGGAAAGTAAATAACATGACTTAATTGATTTGACTGGATGCGATTTATTTTAAAGTCTTAAAGCTAAATGCCTGACAAGAGCGTGGAAAATGGATTGGAGAGAGCGTAATACTGAAGGCAGGGAGGCCAGTTGGCACGCTTGTATCCTGGTAAAAGATGACGAAAAGTAGTTGTGCAGAGGGGGAGGCAGAGGTGGCTTTCGGAGAAAAAACGGGGTGGGATCTGCAGAACTTACTTGGCGGTTGGAAACTGCACACTGGATGGAGTTGGGTGGGGCAAGGATTTCTGGCTTATATAATACAAGCAATATGGCAGAAAAGTCAGTACTAGAACAAAAGATACCAAGTTCTGTTCGGGGTCTGCTGAGTTCGAGCCCTCTGTGGGACACATATGGAGATAACAGACAGGACACATTAGCACCAAATACCAACCTTCATCTACAAGGTTGAAATTCCTGAATTAGAACCTTCTTTACTTACCTAGGAAGCATTTAATTAACTCCATAAATAATTAACTCTGATGTAGAGTTCAGTGGCTGTGAACTCAGACTCTACAGCGCAAAGCTGATCTTCCACCTGTCACCTCCATGTAGTGCATACCCAGTGTGGAAAGCCACTGAGGGTCAGCTGAACTCAAGAGTGTGATTTTGGGGACAATTCTTTCTGTCTTCCCTAAATACCCCAGATCTCTAAGCCTTAAGTACAATTCAGTATTTATTTATTTATTTATTTAGTCATTCATTCATTCATTTATTATTTATTTATTTTTCATTAAAGTTTAGTAGGGTGACAATTGTTAGCAAAGTTACATAGATTTCAGGTATACAATTCTGAAATACATCATCTATATACTGCATTGTGTGTTCACCACCCAGAGTCAGTTCTCTTTCCATCACCAAGTATTTGATCCCCTTTACCCTCATGTACCACCCCTATCCACTATCCACCCTTACCCTCTGGTAACCACTGAACTATTATCTGTGTCTATGAGTTTTTGTTTCTTCATTTGTTTTTCTTGTTCTTTTGTTGTTTTCAGTTTTATATACCACATATCAGTGAAATCTTATGGTTCTCTACTTTTTCTGTCTGACTTATTTTGCTTAGCATTATAATCTCAAGATCCATCCATGTTGTTGCAAATGGCACTATTTCATCTTTTCTTATGGTCAATTTAACAAGTAGAAATTGAGCATCTACCATGAGCCAAGCACTGTGTTAGGCACTGGGGCCACACCATAAACGAGAGGGGCAGTTTCTGACCTTCCCTGGACTTGCATCTAGCCAGGGAGACAAAGCTAAACTGAAAACAGCTGTGGCAGATACAGACATCTTTTACTCAGCTCCCACCTCAAGAAAGGACTTGCTGCCCAGCTACCAGCAGTGTGGTTAGCTGACAGCCTCCAGCACTTAGCACCTTCAGGGCTACCTCAGCTTTCAAGCCAAGGTGACACTGTTCTCAAAGTGGCTCCCGGACAATGGAGGAGTGAAGTGATGGTAGCTGAGAGTATGCACCTCTTGGGGATAACCCCCACCTAGAGTTGCCACATTTAGCAAATAAAAATACAGGACGCCCAGTTAAAGTGGCACTTCAGATACACAATGAGTAGTTTTTAGTATAAGTATGTTCCAAATATTGCATGAGACATACTTATACTTTAAAATATTTGCTTATCTGCAATGCAGATTTAACTGAACATCCCATATTTGACCTGGAGCCTTGCTCCCCAGCCAATGACTGAGCAAAGCAGTGGCACAAAGGCCTCCCGTGTCCAGTCAGCCTCAGACTGTATGTACTAACAGGCAGACTTGGCTCCAGAGCTCTTGTTGGGTTGGCAGAGACTATCATGCATTTACCCTGGTATGATGAGTCTGTCTGTACCATCCTGATGTGTCCCCTTTTACTTTCATAGGTATTACTCCCCAGTGAACCTTTGGCCCTTCTAACTCCATTTTGGCATCTGTTTCCCAGAGAACTCAGCTTGCAAGAGTTGGTATCAAGAATGATCTGAGAAAGTAAGTGGTAACACAAAGGTTTGGGGACTGGGTTACTCACTACCTAGTTAGTTATGAGAACCCCCGTCCCTGGCGATAGGTGGTGTGCATACAGCCCTTAGTATGAGATGGTAGTCCAGTTGTTGAAAGTTTCACCAATGAGGAGCTGGAATGGTATGTAGACAGGGATGAATATACTGATCCAAGCATTTGAAATGTACATTGAGATTTCTACATATAAAGATAATGGAATTGGATGATTTACCACTAAGTTGCACTGATGCCCTACAGGAGGATAGAGAAAAGCTGAGAACAGTTAATAATTGAAACTAAGAGTGAAAGGACTCTCTACAAAGATACCCTCTTACTGTGTGGAGGCAAAAAAGCTGAAGATGAAGTAAAGGATTTAATGGAGTTACTGAACTTTTCAAAGACAATTGAATGCTCAACCAAAGCAGGGCTGTTAGGCCAAAGGCAGGCCCCAGTTGCCAAAACCTGGGACCACGATACATGGGATTGGAACATTTGGGTGGATGTTCCCTAGGCTTCTGTGAACCTTCTGAGCTCGCAGGGGTGGCTAGAACATTCCTTGGACAGGAAGAGAGTCCGGAGGGTTTTCCCCAAAAAGGCAATAGATGGCTCCCTCTTCCTCTCCTATGATCAGGCCTATGATCAGAGTTAAGTCACAACACGACTCAGCCAAGGCTATGCTGGGCCTGATAAAGGAAGAAAGTGGCCATAAATCCAAAGGAGCTGAAAGATGAAATCAGGTCCTTGATCAAGGCTGATGGTTGGGAAGTTGGGAAGGAGAGGGTTTTCTTCTTCTTCTTTTCTTCTTCGTCTTCTTCTTCTTTTAAGCTTTGCTCACTCTCTTGAGATACAGGAAACAGTACAAACTTGCTGTTAGGTGGCTCTTAGAAGCCTGGAGAAAATGATGGTCCATGCTGAAAGGTTGAAATACCTGATTGCCATGGCAGACATAGGGGAAGAAATTAAAAGTCTCAGGGAAGTGGGCTTACAGGCATGGGTGTATTAGTGAGACCAGAAAACCAAATGGAGGGACACCATTTACCACGGCCACTGAGAATGTGCTGGCGAGAGAAGCAACACCAGCTCGCTAAGTGGTTTGGTATTGGTTCTCCTCAGGGGCCAGGGCTGACAATAGAAAAATCTGTCACAAAATTTGGCTCACTGATCACAATGGGGATGTCTCCTCCCTTTAGTGGGCTGAATGGTGGCCCCCAAATATATATGTCTGCCTCTTGATTCCTCGAATTTGTGAACATTACCTTATTTGGGAAAAGAGTCTTTCATAATGTAACTTAAGGATCTTGAGATGAGGAGACCATTCTGGATAATCTGCATGGGCCCTAAGTGTGTCCTGATAGGAGACACAGACAGAAGAGAGAGACACTGAGAAGGCAGTGTGAACATGGAGGCAGACATT